CTGAAGCTGATTCTGTAAATGCCACTACAAACGAGGTACAAGATGCTTTGATCCTTGCTGTACATAGTCCTATTGATGATTGGGTTCTTGATTCTGGAGCTTCATTTCACTGTACTCCACACCATGAAATGATGCAAAATTACACTGCTGGAAATTATGGGGTAGTCTATCTGGCCGATGGACAACCATTGGAGATTGTGGGTATAGGAGATGTGCAAATCAAGACAATGAATGGATCTACATGGAACTTGCAAAATGTAAGGCATGTTCCTGAACTAAAGAAGAAGTTGATCTCGGTCGGACAACTTGATGATAGTGGCCATTCAATCCTTTTCTCTGGAGGAATGTGGAAGGTATCAAAGGGAGCAATGGTTTTGGCTCGTGGAAAGAAAACCGGCACCCTGTATATGACCACAAGATCAGCAGATATAATTGCCTCTACTGAAGCAGAAAATCAGGCACAGCTATGGCATTGCAGACTCGGCCATATGAGTCAAAAGGGGATGAAGATACTTCAGTCAAAGGGAAAGCTGCCAGAATTAAAAAATGTTGATCTAGACATTTGTGAAAGCTGTGTTCTCGGAAAACAGAAGAAGCTCAGTTTCTTAAAGGTTGGCAGGACCTTAAGACCAAGAAAACTAGAACTGGTGCACACAGATTTATGGGGACCAGCTCCAGTAGCATCTCTTGGCGGTTCTCGGTACTATGTCACTTTTATTGATGACTTTAGCAGAAAGGTATGGGTCTACTTTCTGAAAAATAAATCTGATGTGTTTGACACATTCAAGAAATGGAAGGCTATGGTTGAGACTGAATCAGGTTTGAAGCTGAAATGCTTACGATCTGATAATGGAGGAGAATACATTGATGGAGGTTTCAAGGAGTATTGCGCTGTCAACGGTATCAGAATGGAAAAGACAGTTCCAGGCACACCACAACAGAATGGTATTGCTGAACGGATGAACCGGACCATCAATGAACGAGCTAGAAGCATGAGGTTGCATTCTGGGCTACCTCAAACATTCTGGGCTGATGCAGTTCATACTGCAGTTTACTTGATCAACCGTGGACCATCAGTACCTTTGGAGTTCAGACTGCCCGAGGAAGTCTGGAGAGGAAAAGAAGTACAGCTTGCTCACCTAAAAGTCTTTGGGTGTGTTTCCTATGTGCATGTAGACTCTGATGCTCGCAACAAGCTGGATGCCAAATCAAAGAAATGTTTCTTTATTGGCTATGGAGATGAAGAATTTGGATTTCGGTTCTGGGATGATCAAAACAGGAAGATTATCAGAAGCAGGAACGTGATCTTCAACGAGAAAGTTTTGTACAAAGACAAATCAAGTACAGAACTAGAGATAACTGATTCAGATACGAGTCCACAGAAATCTGAATTCATACAATTAGAAGGGCTTCCTGATGTTACCACTCAAGAGTCCACACAAGATAGTTCAAGCACTTCAGTACCCACCACTTCTACACAAGATAGTGCAGAGCCAAGTGAACCAGCTGTTCGCAGGTCTTCAAGGACTATAAAGCCTCCACAACGGTTCACACTTCTACTGAATTATATCTTGCTGACCGATGGTGGTGAACCATTAAATTATGAAGAATCCTTACAAGATGGAAACTCGAGCAAGTGGGAGTTAGCCATGAAGGACGAGATGGAGTCATTGCTGAAGAACAAGACTTGGGAGTTAACCAAACTGCCTGAAGGAAAGAAGGCCCTGCAAAACAAGTGGGTTTACAGAGTAAAGACCGAGCATGACGGAAGCAAACGGTTCAAAGCAAGACTTGTTGTAAAAGGGTTTCAGCAAAAGAAGGGGATCGACTATTCTGAGATATTTTCTCCAGTTGTGAAGCTTACAACAATCAGAGTTGTTCTGGGGATAGTAGCTGCAGAAAATTTACATCTTGAACAATTAGATGTAAAAACAGCATTTCTTCATGGAGAATTGGAGGAAGACATTTACATGCAACAACCAGAGGGGTTTGCAATACCAGGAAAGGAGAGTCAAGTTTGCAAACTAAAGAAGAGTCTATATGGTTTGAAGCAAGCTCCAAGACAGTGGTACAAGAAGTTTGATAACTTCATGAGTAGTACGGGATACACAAAATGTCAGGCTGATCATTGTTGCTATGTCAAACATTTTGACAACTCCTATATCATTCTACTGCTATATGTGGATGATATGTTAATTGCAGGTTCCAGCATGGAAGAGATTGACAAGCTAAAGCAACAGTTGTCAAAACAGTTTGAAATGAAGGATCTGGGAGCTGCTAAACAAATACTTGGCATGAGAATCATCAGAGACAAAGACAAAGGCATACTAAAGCTTTCACAGGCAGAGTATGTCAAGAAGGTTCTCAGCAGGTTTAGTATGGATAATGCTAAGCCAGTATGTACACCTCTGGGGAATCATTTCAAGCTCAGTAAAGACCAGTCACCAAAAACTGAGCTAGAACGTGGATACATGGACCAGATCCCATACGCCTCAGCTATCGGCTCCTTGATGTATGCCATGGTCTGTACTAGACCAGATATTGCCCATGCAGTGGGAGTTGTAAGCCGATATATGAGCAATCCTGGAAAGCAGCATTGGGAGGCAGTGAAATGGATCATGAGGTACTTAAAAGGCTCATCGGAGACATGTCTTATTTTCACAGCTGGCGGTTTGAAACTTGAAGGCTTTGTAGATGCTGATCTAGCAGGAGATGTTGATAGCAGAAAGAGTACTACAGGTTATATATACACTCTAGGAGGCACTGCTGTTTCTTGGAGTTCTACCTTGCAAAAGATAGTTGCTCTTTCAACGACAGAAGCTGAATATGTCGCAGTTTCAGAATCCGCAAAAGAGATAGTATGGCTACAGAGTTTCCTGCAAGAATTGGGCAAGATGCATGGAAAGGGTACTTTGTATAGTGACAGTCAGAGTGCAATCTTCCTTGCCAAGAATCCAGCATTTCACTCCAGAACAAAGCACATACAGATCAAATATCACTTCATCAGGCAATTGCTCGACGATGAACAACTGTTACTTGAAAAGATCTGTGGAAGCAAGAATCCAGCCGACATGTTAACCAAAGGAGTTACTCTCGATAAACTGAAGCTGTGTAAAGCTTCAGTGGGTCTTGAAGATTAAAAGACAGACCTAACACCATTTGTGTCCAAGTGGGAGATTGTTGGGTGTGGACACAACATGGTTGGTGGCAGCCATGTTAGACATGGCTAAAGTCAATGGTGGTTGCATGGTGGGTGCCTAACCAAAGAAATTGTTGCCCACCATTGTTGACTAAAGAAGAAACTTGTCTCCCACATCAGCTATAAATAGAGAGTGCCATTGATAGCTGATGAGCACCACGAGATAGAGAGAAACACAGAGAGAGAGCTAAGGGTGAGAGTTGAGTTGAGTTGAGAAGTTTTCTCCTCCTCCTTGTTTTGTTGTTTGTATTGCTTTTGAGCTTGATTAATACAAACCAGTAGCTCCGTGGAGTAGGCAAGTTGCCGAACCACGTAAATTTGTGTGTGTTTGAATGTTTGGATCTCCTAACAACTGGTATCAGAGCTTGTTCTTGAAAGTTCTTGAAAAAAAGGGTGTTTGATCCAAACTCAAAAATCAAAGTTCTCAAAACGTGTTTTTGAACATACCACCGTGAAGAGGACGAAAGCAGACTTGGCATGAGGAGCTCTTAAAGGAATGTAGATCTTCTTCACATCTGGTTGCACCATTAATGTCTTCTCCATAAAAACTGCACTGATCATTGTAAGAAAGATTAATCATCCATGTTGTAATCAAAGATAAAGAAAGCCATGATGTCCCAAAATTTGAAGTAGTTGGGAGTAAGGTTTATATATATTTGGATAATTAGTTAATTTTTTAATTTTAAAAATTTGATCAATTCTCCTTAACCAAGGTAGCTGTAATTAATACCTATAAAAAAAATCTATTTTGTGGCTTTAAGGATCCTCTTATGTTTAAGTAGATATTTTTATAGAGAAAATATAATGATTTTTTAGAAAGAGATTCTAAAAATAAATAAAAAGTAAAGAATAAAGATTTAGAAATTAGTACTTAATAGATTTATAGTATATTTATAGTCCATAAGTTTTTTTTTTAATAAAGAAAAAGGGTTAAAGTGTTATTTTTCCCTAGTAGTTTTAATAAAAAAATATCTCTAATATATATATTAATTAAAGATAAATATTTTTAAACAAATATTAATATTAATAAAAATATACCAGTTCTTAAATGATTTTTACACATCTAAAGATATAGTAAAAGTAACTAAATAAATGTAATTGGGAAATTAATCAACAAATATTAATGCAACTTTTACATGGGAGCTGAGCTTTTTTTTAGGTTGAGTCCATGTAATTGGGTTATATATATATTGAGCATATGACATTGAGCTATTTTCTAAAGATAAGGACAAGCTCATGAAGACTAAGCTCTTCTCTGTAGCTAAACCTAGAACCAGTCACGTTACGTTACTGAGATCATAGGTTTTTAAGCCTTCGCTGGGTTTTGTAGACCTTTAAATTTGAGTTTACGAGAGCAAAACAAAGAAAGAGGATGTGAATTATTATACTCTTTGCTAAAAACCTAGTTGCACCTGTGACCAAAATAGTCTTGTCCTTGAGAAACCAGAACTCCATTGCAAGAGAAGTAAGATAGAGATGAAAGTCTAAATTTTTGTGTGTTGATATGAATCTAAACACAAATGCTTTTGCCACTACCTAGCACTACTATTTCACATTGATATAGCGTGGCGGCGAAAGAGAGAGGGAGGGAGTCCATTTGCCGATGATCATCATTTGAAAACGTATTTTACCACCCCAGGAAAGTGGATATTAGTGAGGTAGTCTTCCCAGTCAATTGTCTTGGGATCAAACTAAAACGTATCGGTCTCTAAATTGTTCTCCCTAGCTGCCATTCGCAACTTCTCTGTGTTCAAGTCATCGACACTGCGTCCGAGATATGAGCATATTATAAGAATTATACTGATCATGAACTGGTTAATTTTGTAGATTGACAGCAAGATTAATGAAGAATATACTTACACTCCCTGGAAGAACAAGTATGGCCTGTAAAGCTCCACTAATTTCATCACAAAATTGATCTTCCTATTGAGTTCACTATACTTGTCCTCAAAGAAATGGCAAAATGCCGTATTTGCTAATTCTAGTCCCTGTAAAAAAAAAACAAAAAAACAAGTGATCGAGAGCAACAAATTGATTGATATGCAGGTATTAATTGTGGTGAATGTTTGAACAGATTAACCTTTAGAAATAGCAAATAACGAATTGCCATGTATCTGTGGAAGCTAGCCATGCTGCGTAATACTTTAACCCTGCCAACCTTGACAGGCTTCCCATCCTTACCAATCCAAGGTTTATTGGTGAAGTAATTAAAGCCACAATCTTGAAGATTAGTGTATCTCATAGGATTTCTTACTGACGATCCCACTTGATAAATTGCATTCTCGGATGGTCGATTAGCATGAGCCACCATGGACACAATTATGGCATTCACCACCATGTCAGCTGGTATCTGCACAAAGTAATACCTCAACATTTCATGTATTCTTCTTTCCCTTGTTACCAATTGAATATATATTCAACTCTTATCAAGATGACTGAAAGGTGACATGACCAACTCACCACATCAACGATTCCTGTAATATCCCCAAGGACGCATGTTAGTCTTCCTTTCCCATAACCAACGGCTAGGCTATCAATTGTTCTAAAACACAGATAAGTTTAATTAATTACAACATTGCTTTTAGGACCATTAATTTTCACCAAAACAAAACAAAATGATTTTTTTATCCTTAAATGTACCTGACACCTTCAACCCAATCGGGGAAAGGTTCTTTGTATGTACTGGTAACAATGGTAGGGCGTATGATGACCACGGATAAATCTTCCTTCAAGTGTCCTACAAGCATCTCTCCCATTGCCTTTGTAAATACATAGGTGCTTGGCCATCCATACATCTTAGCCCTAAATGCCATTAATTTTGTCATTTTTTTTTTTTATCAAAATCCATATCTAGCACATATCACTTTTGCAGAACAAGTTAGTATCTATATTATTATATTATCGTCAGCCCTTCATTCTTGCATTTATTCTTTGCTATGTAAGTGCATTTATCGACGAGCAGGCAGCAGGGTGTCCTTCCTTCGGGGTCCCACGAAGACTTGAAGTGCTATGTATCTTTGTTGGAGCTTATTTTTTTTTTTAAAAAATATCATAATAGCAAAAATAAAAATTTCTACTGACAAAATATCACAGTTAAAGAAATTATTTGTAAGAATAGCTGCATGTAAAATCCAATTTCAAAATTAGACAGAACTATACCCTTAAAATTGAACAGGCATGTAACACATGTATGTCTTAACAAAATATATTATTTTTAAAAATAAATTACTAGCCGTGCTCTTTTAGTAAAACAATTTTTGCTACTGTACTAATTTCAAAACAAATTCTATTGGTTGGGTGCATGGATATTATTTATAGTCTAACCTAATTATTTCTACGCTGGAGACAAAAAAAAATCACACAGGAATGTTATATTGTTTTATTAGTTTTCAATTATCTAGATTATCATACTCATTCGCTCGCATGAAAATGGACTCAACTTTATACAAGTAAGAAAATATTATATCAAGAATACCTAATAATTTCTTTTTTTTTTCATCCTCATGGTATACATCACTGTTAATTGACATGCCAGAGATCAAAATGCTACGAGTTCAAACGTAATGCTAGAGTGATTAATTAGGAATAATAAAAATATTCGAGCATTATTAGATATTATGACTAACCTTTCCATGCCCGTGTCTTTCATGGCATCCTTAATTGCTTCAGCTGTGGCATCTTCAGCTTGAAGTTCATTTAGTTTCTGATCAACCAGTTTCTTCTCTTCATCGATGTCTAATCCACAGACACCATTAAGGGTGTCGCCCACGCCATATGGAGTCTCTAGAATAAGCCCGGCTGTCTCCCCAGAAACAAAAACTGAAAAGGTACCAAATCCCTTGAGATTTTGGAACATATATCTACCGGCAGCATAAAAAATATTAGCGTATCTTATAATGTGGGCAAATTCTTAGAGGTGGTGGGATCGGATATTGAAGAGATCAATTATCACCACTGACCAGTGGATACATTGACAAGAACCTTTAGTCTGACACATTTCTTGGCAAAACATAAGACATGCTTAGCTCCCATTGTGTTGATGCCAAGTGCAACATCATACCTGCATTAAATTTTCCAAAAAAACAGAAAACCAGTTGCTTCGTTTTTCAGTTCTTGTTGTTGAAATGGACAGAAGATGAAGGGGAAACAAAGGTAGTCGATGATTCCTGCCTACCCTTCATCAAAGTTGGTTGTTGCAGCTAAGTTAACTACAACATCTAATTGATTCCACATCTCTTCCCTCAGAATTGAGTCTTTCACTCCTAAGTCGTCTTCGTAAGAGATGTCGCCAGGGACCAGTACTATCTTTTTGGTGACGATGGAATTTAGATTTTCTCTCCATTTTCCCTTTAGGATTCTAAACAAGTCCTTCCCTATAACCTACAAAATAGAACAAGTTACAAACAATTCTAAACAACATAGACAAAAATAGCTGTCAAACAAATCATCTAGGTAGTTCCAAGTTATTTTTTGGTTATGAACGAATGATGAGATATTTTTATTAAGATGGTCATCTAGTGGATAGAAAACCATAAAAAATAAGTGAAAAAATCTATCAGTAAAGGAACTAAAAGTAAAATAAGAGTTAACGACACCTATTAATTACTTCAAGTTGTAATACACTCCTTACTCTTTAATATATTCATACCAGTGTAGCTGAACCTAACATTAAAGGAACGGATCCCAGCAGTTGGTTTGTGAAAGAATAGACATAGAACATTATCCCAATTCAGATTGATCCGTGAAAGAATAGTTGTATGTATTTCCAAGGCTCTTAGTCAATGAATGACATTAAATGTCTACCTCCTCATATTTTTCCACTTTTAGTAACAAAAGTACTTCCAAGGAATATGCATCCCCAATATATCTATATATGGTGTTGGCCTATCTAAACGATGATTCCATAATTTGTAAGATATAGACCATGCAGTCGTTTATTTTCTTGCAGTTTGCTAGTTTAGTTTCTTTCCTCACATTTTTACTTCTCTTGCCTTTTATTCCCTCAAGTTTTATTATATTGTGTACCTCATTTTGTAAGCGTTGTGAAGCAGACTTGGCATCAGCAGCTCTTAAAAGAAGGTAAATTTTCTTCACTTTTGGCTGGACTCTCAATATCTTCTCCAAAAGATATTGTAAGAAAAGTTATAGCCATTCATGATGCCTTACCCAAAAAAGAGAGGAAAAAACGCAAATAAGAGGAAGATATCTACTCTTTGCTAGAAACCCAGTTGCCCCCGTGATCAAAATGGTCTTGTCCTCGAGAAACTGAACAACACTTCCAAACTCCATTGCAAGAGAGAGATAGGGATGAAAGTTTGTGTTTAATTTGGGTGTTTTTTCATGTTGAAATGAATCGAAACAGAAATTATATTGCCAAAATTAGCACTAATATTAAAAGTATTTTTTATTTATTTATGGAAATATTCAGGTGAATTTATACATACCATAATTAATTTTATAATTTACTAAATATCCTATAAATCTAATAAACATATAAAACACAGCAATAATAACAAAATAATATTACAAATTGATATAGCAAGGTGGCGGGGGGTTGTTGGGGCAGGACATTTACGAGGGAGGGCACGCGCTATCCTTTTGGTAGATTGCTTTGGTCATTTACTTAAAAGATCATAATGCATCAAGCACTCATTCAATGATCCACTTTTACCTTCTGCACATTTGTTTTTTTGATTAATTTAGATGTTTGGATTAATTTATATATATTTTAATTAATTTTAAAATTAATAATTATATAAATGTTCAAGAATGCAAAGCAATTTTTTTTTACATCTTTTTTTTTAGATTAACGTGGGTGTCCGGGCCAGCTTGCGCGCACCACGACTAATCCCACGGGCCCTGAAGTTAACGACCATGTAAGCCTCCAGTGGCCATCATATAAGCAATCAAGGACTCGAACCTGAGATCACAGAGGGAACAAACCCCTTGATCTCAAATTCTTATCACTTGACCACCACCTAAATGGTTAATTTTTTTTTACATCTTGGTTTCTTGGGTGAGTGACGTTCACTTGCAAAAACCTTCCATAAATTATTAGGTATGAAAAAAACAATAGTAGTCAAATCTGTCACAGTATGTCTGTACGAGCCATCAAATTGGAAACACGTGCTAGTCTTCTTTACAGGGCGGCCTGATAACTATACTTTAGCATTGGTACTGGCTTCCGTTCCGTTCCCGTCATTTATTGCAGTGTCGGAAAATTTTATTGAAAATAAAAAAGGTTTGGGTATTAAAAATAAGTAAAAATACATAAAAAAATATTTCTTAAAAATATATAAAAATATTAATTAGATTTAAGTAATGATATTTTCTTAAATTTAAAATTTAAATTATATGAATTAAATAGCCTAATTAAAAATAAAAAATAATATTTTTTTAAATATTAATTCTTTTAAATTTATGACTTTAGTTATTAAACTTGAAGCATTTAATTTACAAAATTATGAAGTTTAAATTTTATAAAATTAAATATTAAATGTTTAAAAAAATTATACAATTTTTTTTAAAAAGTAGCAATTTAAAAAATTAATTATTATCATTATTATTATCACTAAAATTATTGTTAGCATTATTGTTATTGGTAATAATATCAATATTTTTATTAATATTGTTATTATTAACCATCATTATCACAATTATCAATATTATTATTAAAATTTATTGTTATTACTACTATTGTAATCACTATTATCATATAGAACTATTATTAATATTTTTATTATCATCATTGTTCTTCTTCTTATTCTTCTCTCCTATATTATTATTATTATTATGTGTAAGAGTACGAGCAGTTGCATTGTTACCACCATGATCAACTCCACCAATCACTACTATTATTATCATCATTAATTTTATTGTTATTATTGTTATTGTTGGTGTTGTTATTGTTGTTATTTTTATTATCATTATAATATTACTACTATTATTAGCATTATTATTATCATTACTAATTTAATTGTTGTTATCATGAATATTATTATAACATCAATCAAAACTAAAAGGTCTACATTTAAAAAAAAAAAAAAACAATGAGGATCATGATGTATTTACCAAGGTATGAGGGAGAAATGAAGGAAGAAAAAAAAAGAAATGGTCACCAACAATACATGAGCAACACACTTACGCTTGTTTTGCCTGCGCCAACAGTTTTTCAATTCAAAAATCATTATTTAAAAGGTGAATTACATTACTATCCTTAACCAAACTTATTATTAACAACAAAACCATCATGGTGGTCAATGAAGGTGAAGAAGATAAAATCGCACATATTTGCTCAATTATATGTGCGGAATTGCTAAGTAAGGAGATTTTTTAATTGCCTTGAAGGAAGGCAAAATTGGAATACTCTGCACACCCGATCATGTGGAGATTTGAGGTGGAGAGTGAAAATTGACAAAGACCAATCTTGATGAATCTAAGCATTGGTAGTCTCGCTAGATATTAAAAAACCAAGTATAAAACCAAGATATTACATATCACTTATAAAGGAAAGCCGCAACAAAGCTAGTAAATGGTTCTATATATGGAAAGATAGCACGATGGATAGATATAGCATAAGAAGTTCTGGCTAGGAGATTGGATTTTAAAAGGGACCGTTGTGACCCCTCCAAACTTTCCTAGGAACTTGCTTAGTTGAAGGATTATCCATACGATACTATTTTCGTATATGTAACAATTTATAATGAAACTGGTGAAGACTAGTAAGATGACATCATCAAAGAACAATTAGGTTCTATATGTTCAGGGATTTGATAGAGTGGTGATTTCTTAAAAGAAATTAGATTCGGTGACTGTGATTTCTTGATGAGAGTATAAAGACCCTGATAATAGAAGATAAATACAGCAATGGGATAAATATTGACACCCTATTTTGCCTTGAATAAGTGTTGTAATAAGATGAGCTGCTGTCAAACATATGCAAGGAATAGGGAGAATTTGGAGAACAAAAATTACATAAGAGCACACGGAGATTGTGCAGGAGTACCTGTAGGATCCAACGATGTACTATAATAAGACAACATGTGAAAGGAGAAGAAGAGTTTTCAGATAAAGCTCAGAGCAGATACTGTGTAAAGGATGTACAATAGGAAATCTCTTGTGCTTTTGATAAAAGCAACAAGCAAGAACCTTTCCAATGCATACAAGGATGGAAAGATGAGCTATTGCAGAGACACCTAATTAAAAGGGTGTGACCACCTATGAAAGGCGAAGACATCAAAGAGAGTTGGTGTAGGTGCAGCTGTCAAGTGCGATGATGAAAGGCGTAGAAGCTCCAAACATAGAAAATAAGATGGAGGATTGCGAGAAGTATACCACAACTCTCTCTTTCTACGTGATCAGTGATAGTAATCTCTCCCATATTCAACATAGTGGTAGAGAATTTTTAGAGCCACTTTGAAGCATCTCAACTGAAAAAGGATGCGACCACCTATGAAAGGTGAAGACACCTTAAAAAAAAGGTGTGAGGGCTATTATATGAGCCTAAGATCAAACCACTGCATGATGACTAGCGAAGACACCTCAGATAGAAGGTATGAGGGCTATGATATGAGCCCAAGTTTAGAATGCTTCAGAGCCGATGTGATAATTGGATATGAGTGGATAAGTGTATAGCCAATGAAATAGATATGATAAGTATAGAGACAAATGCCAAATTGGCATTGATGGATATGACCCTCGTGTTAAAGATTGATGAGCTAGAAGACATTTGTCTTGGACAATAAGTGGATGACTCGTGGAGCATTAAGATGCAACTGCTATGTAGAAGTAGGAGGCATGTGCAGGTTCCTGGAAAAGTTAACTCTTGTCAAGGTGGTGAGCTCAATCATGACATTGTAATACTCGGAGTATGAAGGAAAATATGGATCAACCTTTAATGGGTTACCCCCATAGTTAAAGATGGAGAGCTACTTGGACTCTAAACACTAAGAGCAGGAGACTCACAGAGAAGTAAGGCGTGATTTCTAAGGTGGAACAGAAGTCAAATACAACTCCTAGATAAGTAGACTCTTGAAAGAGTAGTGAGCTCGTGATCACATTAAAATACTTATATAATGACCATCACACTTGAAAATAGAAATTTCAATTTGAGGGGGTGTTGTAAGCCTTGGTTTGAGGCTTGAAAAATCATTCCAGACCGAGCATGGTTGATATGCTCAAAGAAAAATGTTATTCCAGAGACAAACATTAATATTATTCTGATGAGATATGGTAGATTATCTAGTTGAAGTGATCCTTTAAGGTGAGCAAGAGTGTGTTTTGGTGACTTTGACAATTGAAAAGTTTGGTAAATACCTATAAATTTGGT